CCAGTAACAATACAACACAAATACAACACAATCATATGATTTACCAAACATATATTATCCCACAATCAAAAACAAAAATAAAATTATAAGGCTATACCTGAGGGCTGAGAAAATCAAGGAAGGTGAAACCTCTTAAGAGCTACCAAACCCTGGCGGCACATTAGCAGTGGGGCAGTGTGGGGGATGAACAGACTGTCGTCGTGATAAAACCAATATATAGCTCTAAGTTTTCTTCTAAGATCAGGCAGGTCTAGATGGCTCGCTTCTATATACCCTTCATTGTTTGTCGGTACCAGTCCGTCAGGGGGCAGATCACCCACCTGATAACCCCCCACAGCAATATTGACTCCTTGGACGGGTAATACCGCAGCATATGGATGCCCGGCCATCAACTTTGGCAAGGGCCGATAGAGTTCATCCATGTCTTCTTCCTTGATGTGTTGATTTCTGCTCCTCGCAGACGTGACTCGTAATAATGTCTCCATCCTCAGATCGGCCAAATTTTGTCTCTCCTGGAGATTCTGGAGCATATGTAACAATGCCGGTAAATCAGCCATGGAAAGTGTGTGATTGATTGGTAGCAAGTTTTTTAGGGTTTTGAGGTGTTTTCGCGTAAATAAGAAAAAGAAAAGAGTCGGCGCCTGGCTGTAGATGAAGACGGAAGGAGTGGACTGGGCCTGATTAAATTGATAAATGGGCCATAGATAGATTGCTTGCACACTAACCCAATCTCCAAAATTCATGAAACATGGTCCAAGGACAATCCAAAGTCTAAAAAATTTAATTCATATAATATAATTAAATAATTAAATTGTCGATGATTAGATATATGGCCCGTTTGCAGTGAAAGCTGAGAGTGACATGTTATGCCAAATGGACCATATAGCTTATACAACTCATCATAGTTTTAAACACAAAATTTTTACACATTTACTATGATATAATATAATAAATACATGGGGAATTTACATACCTAGCGAAACTAATGATAAATAATAGCACATACACAACCTTGTAAAAATATTTGCACATGTACGATTTCATGTCTATTTAATATTTTAATTAGGGTAATACTAGATAATTAAATTGTAGATTAAGAATGATATGTTTATTCTCTCTTAGTTACCGTATGTAATTAAAAAGAATAGGAATCTCTTCTCTCACATGGCAAGCAATAAAACAGCAACATGTTGAATTAAAAAAAAAAAAAATTGTGAATTTGAATCCAAAACAAGTTGATCGAAAATCTGAAAAATGTATATGTTTAGTTTATCTATGTTCTATACATAATAAAAAGGAATTTCAAACACTGCAGCGAAATATTAATTTTTTAATCCTCTTGGTCAAGGTCCAATTCTTTTTTTTTTTTCTCCCCCTTTTTCTCTTCTCTTTCCCTTTCCCGTCAATCTCCTCTTTTCTTTTCCTTCTTCTCTTCCTCTTCCTAATTCCTTCCTTTTCTTTCTCTCTTTCATTTCATCTCTGTGAAATGAAAATAAGTCATCAATTTCACTCAATATTCTCTATGGATCCAACAATAAAACATCCTTCAATCTCTTTTGGATTCCCTTTTCATAACCTCAATAATCAGACCGACCTATCATTTATTTGGAGACGTGACCAGAGGCAAGTGGCGGCAGTGGTTCGAGTTGGAGATCAGAAATTGGCAACAGGGCAGCTTCTTGACGGACCGACCGGCGGAGGCTGACGATATCAACGGCGGTGTACATCGACGGAGAGGTCTGCGTCAGAGATGTTGGAAAAATCATTTATAAAACTTGGGTTTGACCCGGTTTTGACTGAATTTTTTATGGCTAAATATTTAATTTGAGTTGAATTAAATATTGTAGAAAAATTCTACGTTTCAAGTAGATACTCGTGGTATATTTATTTTCTCAAAACTGATTTTCGGTGAGTGAAAAATAAATTGTTAAAGTTAGCCATAAGGGCACGTAAAACGTTGGTTGTGGGAAATA